ATTTGTTGAAAGACATTGGAATCAGGATGGAGATGCCTGCTTTCATGAAAAGGGGATCCAAGCAGCTCTCCACATCTGATTCTAACTTGTCTCGAGTCGTGACAAAGGTATTATAGTATTTTCTTTTAATGTAAATATATTTACATTGTATTTAGAGTAATATTTTTACCAATTAGCTATAACATAATTATTACTTTGCATATGAAATACAATAATATAATTATAGATTGAGCAGAAATAGAAGAAAACTGTTGTACGTTTATAAGCATTCTATTTTTAGCTCACCTGAGCCGAAGGCTCAAGTGAGCTTTTCTGATCACATTTTGTCCGGCGTCCGTCTGTCTGTCTGTCCGTCTGTCTGTCCGTCAGTTGTAAACTTTTCACATTTTCGACTTCTTCTCATGAACCGCTGGGCCAATTTCAACCAAACTTGCCACAAAGTATCCTTGGGTGAAGGGGATTCAAGTTTATTCAAATGAAGGGCCACGCCCTAATTCAAGGGGAGATAATTGGGAATTAATGAAAATTTGGTAGCATGTTTTAAAAATCTTCTTCTCAAGAACCACTGTGCCAGGAAAGATGAAACTTATGGGGAAACATCCTCCGGTAGTGTAGATTCAAGTTTGTTCAAATCATGACCCCCGGGGGTAGGGTGGGGCCAAAATGGCCGACCAAAGTTTTACATAGAAATATATAGGAAATTTCTTTAAAAATCTTCTCCTCAAGAACAACAAAGCCATAATTGATCATATTTATATGGAAGCATCCTCAGGTAGTGTAGATTCAAGTTTGTTCAAATCATGACCCCCCAGGGGTAGGGCGGGGCCAAAAATGGCCGACCAAAGTTTTACATAGAAATATATAGGAAAATTCTTTAAAAATCTTCTTCTCAAGAATAGCAAAGCCATAATTGATCATATTTATATGGAAGCATGCTCAGGTAGTGTAGATTCAAATTTGTTCAAATCATGACCCCCAGGGGTAGGGCGGGGCCAGAATGGCCGATCAAAGTTTTACAGAGAAATATATAGGAAAATTCTTTAAAAATCTTCTCAAGAATAGCAAAGCCATGATTGGTCATCAGACTACTTTTGGATTTAAGCTTTTCGAGTATAAACCAATTCTGCTTTTTCCTAGCCACAGTGCTCAGGTGAGCGATGTGGCCCATGGGCCTCTTGTTTATTTTTCAGGTTCGTTGGATTGTAGAAGCAACAAATGGGCGACTGAAACAGTGGCAGTATTTAGCTAAAACGTTACCAAACTCGCAAATCCCATTTATTGGTGACTATGTGAGAATTGTGGCGGCACTGTGCAATAAGTACAGGCCACCACTTAGTGTGTCATCCGATGAGGACAAACAACTTGCTGCAAAAATGCTTCACCTTTCAGAAAGAGTCAACACATTACAAGTAAATATATATTTTCGTAGTTTTATAATGATGCATATGTGGCATGTTCATTGTTGTCTTTAGGTCAAGGACAAAACTTACTCTGAACTAAACATTAAAATAGTTATATCTAGTTGATGAAATAAAAAAAGAGTTGAATGTTTCTATTTCCTATTGCTCTGAATTAGTAAAAGACTTTAACTTGCACAATAACCTTTTTGCATTTACAGGAACGCGTGGAAACTGAGGGACTTGACAGAAGAGGGATGCGTTGGACTAAAGTTGATGCAGAGAATGTTGCCCCAGATTTCCCATGCTATGAAGAGACTGAATTGCGCCAACTTACTCTTGGAGTATATCAACTTCGCATGGCCCATTCCTATGCTAAAGAGCACATTGATGAAGATGGTGGATTTGAAATCTGCATTAGTGATGACATTCCTGGGTTAGTTAGTGCTAAGATTCAAAGCAGACATATAGCTGCTAAACAGTACAGATGCTGGGTTAGTTTCAGTGATGGAGTGGTGGATGGGTGGTACTGCAAATGTAAAGCTGGGACTAGAGTTGTTGGAATGTGTGGTCATGTAACCAGTATTGTATGGTACCTCTCTTTCGGGCGTCATCAGGAGTTGGTGAAAGGGGTTCGTAACTGGACTACAACACTGGAGGACGCCTCTGACATCCAGGACATTATAGATGAATCGGATAGTGATGGTGATGACAATGGTTTGGAAGAGTGATAGAAAACGAGGAAGCATTACAGATAGAAAGAGATCAGTTACATAAAACTGTACGGTTGTGCCTGAGCTCGAAAGAGACAGACTTCTCTATATCTACAATTACATTTCATTCTTGCATAATGATACAATGTTGTTTCTCAGTTTGTTGATACTTCCTCAGCGAGTCACTTTGTTAACTTACATGTATTACCAAGCAGCTAAAATGAATAATTATTTTTTAAATGATTATCATTCTGAAAGATGAAATTGACAAATGAATTGTGAATATACTATTTCTATATTTGTCAAAAAATTATTTATGTGTTTTACATCAGCCATAAAGCAATATTCCTACAAGTGTATGGTTTACTATACCAGTGTACGTGTTCATTAACAATAAAATAATTTTGAGTTACCCTGGCAATGACTTACTAAAATATAAATGAAAACAAGATGTGTTTGTAAAACACTATGCGACCAGCATCAACAAAGTTCGAAAAAGTTATTTTTTAACATACAGGTCACAGTTAAGGTCATTCACATTTGAAAGAACTTAATCAGTTGAGTATGCATACCAAATATGAAGTCTCTATCTTCTATGGTTAAAAAAATATGGCAAACGTCAAAAAAGCTATTTTTAGCACATAGTTAAATAGGTCACAGTCTAGGTCACATGGTCATCAACCTTGGTGTCATGTGAAAGAGTTTAATTAGTGGTGTATGCATACCAAATATGAAGTCTCTATCTATCATGGTTCAAAAGTTATGGCGAAGGTTAAAGTTGACAAAAGGCAGACAGGAAAACGGGTAAACAGACAAACAGATAAGCAGACAGGACAAAAAATATAAGCCCCATAAAAAGTGAAGATTACGAATAGTGATTGATTTTAAAAAAAATGTATAAATGTATAATTTAATGCTCATTGGCAATATATTTTTAAGTTCACTGCATTATTATGATGCCATGTCTTAAATAACTTAGTAAATCTTGGAAGGAGAAATTGTGTTAATGATGATTGAACAACAGCGAGGTTAACTTTTTTTTTATTGCTTAGCAACCCAGAACTTATATGTATACATATCTGAAAAAGATTTTTCTCAACTGAATGTAGATCATTATAATAACCTAGCTTCAGTGAATATTTTAATAATTACCATTTCAAACATCCATTGCAGTAAAACTCATCAAAAAAATTAAAAGCGTCCAAAACATGGTTAAAGTTAGGCACTTAATTGACCTTTGACCTTTGATTTCCATTGGTTAGATCAAGTTGGTGATTTTATAATAATCATAAAATATCTATAATTAATTCTTATAAACATTTTACTTAATGGTACACTAAAGCACGTCACGCAAACATTCATTTTGGTAAATCATTAGTATGAAGTGAAATCCTTTGGTGTCTGATTTCGCTTTAAAAAGGGCGACGTCAAAATATCAGTACTGTACTTTGAAGAATTATATTTCAGGCGTTTTAAAAGATATGAATTTAAAATTACTATTTTTATAAATTAGATATACTGTAATAGTTTATATTGTATTTTAGTTGATTTCCTGGACCGGGCATATTTTTGCCCAAACTGTACTTTCTTCTTTGATGGTTCATTGCATTGTAAACTAGGGCTAATTGTAACGGGAAACGTCACAGATGTTCCCCAAACGCTCCTAAAGTCCCTTTTGGTGCCTTATTCCCCGCCATCTTCACTGCAAAAGGCAAACTATGCAGTAAAGAGTAATCAGTCGTAACCATTGTGAACGGACGTAAACTTTAATTTCGGTAGCAACAAAAACTAGATGCTGTCATGAGACAGTAATACCCGCACTAAGGTGTTTGCCTCTAAATGCACACTTCTTCATATTGGGCTTTACCAAGGAAAAAGTCAATATAATTCAATAATTTACAAAATACATGTATTCATCAAATTGAGCATAATATGCTCAGGTGACCATGTAGCGGCAGATCTGCAGCGTTATGGTTTTATATACGTATTTGTCTTTGACCATAACGCTACAGATTCCCATATGCAAAAAAGGTGCAATTTACGGCGCAATACTTTTTGCGCACTTTTGGGCAGTTTTTCTCCACTTTCTAGCATTGGTCAATCAACTACCTTTCACTCCCTAATTTTAGACACATTCTGTAGATGTGCAGTAAGGTTTCGGTATTTTGATTTTGCCCCGGGGGGTCAAATGGGGGTCGAAAAATGACGTTTTTTATGCTAAAAAGCCCCGTCTTCCGTGAACTCCTTCTACATTTTACTCAGCAGCCTAATCATCTTTTGGGAGATGGTTGGTGGTGTCATGTAGATTTGCAGTAAGGTTTCAGAATTTTGATTTTGCCCCGGGGGGTCAAATCAGTGGCCTGATCATCTTTTAGGAGAGTTAAATATTTTGAAAATTAGGTAAAACATCAACATCATAGGGTAAAAAATCATAGCATGCTGGGAAACATCTCCCAACCATGGGAGAACGGGGCAAAATCAAAATTCCAAAACCTTACTGCACATCTACTTGACACCACCAACCATCTCCCAAAAGATGATTAGGCTACTGTGTAAAATGTAAGAGGAGTTCAGGGAAGACGGGGCTTTTTGCATAAAAAACGTCATTTTTCGACCCCCATTTGACCCCCCGGGGCAAAATCAAAATTCCGAAACCTTACTGCACATCTACATGACACTACAAACCATCTCCCAAAAGATGATTAGCCTACTGTGTAAAATGTAAGAGAAGTTCAGGGAAGACGGGGCTTTTCGCATAGAAAATGTCAGTTTTCGACCCCCATTTGACCCCCCGGGGCAAAATCAAAATTCCGAAACCTTACTGCACATCTACATGACACGCTACTGTGTAAAATGTAAGAGGAGTTCAGGAAAGACGGGGCTTTTTGCATAAAAAAACGTCATTTTTCGACCCCCATTTGACCCCCCGGGGCAAAATCAACATTCTGAAACCTTACTGCACATCTACATGACACCACCAACCATCTCCCAAAAGATGATTAGGCTACTGTGTAAAATGTAAGAGGAGTTCAGGGAAGACGGGGCTTTTTGCATAAAAAACGTTCTTTTTCGACCCCCATTTGACCCCTCGGGGCAAAATCAAAATTCCGAAACCTTACTGCACATCTACATGACACCCCCAACCATCTCCCAAAAGATGATTAGGCTACTGTGTAAAGTGTAAGAGGAGTTCAGGGAAGACGGGGCTTTTTGCATAAAAAACGTCATTTTTCGACCCCCATTTGACCCCTCGGGGCAAAATCAAAATTCCGAAACCGGGGGGTCAAATCAGTAGCCTGATCATCTTTTAGGAGAGTTAAATATTTTGAAAATTAGGTAAAACATCAACATCATAGGGTAAAAAATCATAGCATGCTGGGAAACATCTTGAATTCTTACGAGTATTGTGCATGTCAAATGTGAAAGTCATATCTCTTCTCAATCCAAAGTTATAAGCAAATGCAACATTTTGAAAAGTAGGTTAAGCTTCAAGGTCAAGGTCACAGATTTATGATTTGTTTTGAAAGGTCTTATCATAGGTAATAATATACATGCATGTATAATATGAATTCTTTCAAAATGATGAATTTAAAACAATGTAATTTTTTTGCAAGTAGGTCAAACTTCAAGGTCAAGGGTAAAAAATTCATGGCATTGTCACAGGTAAATACTAATTATACATATGTTTAATACCAATGCCTCGTCTCTTCTCATTCAATAGATATGACTGTGATGACCAAGGTTAAATTGACAGACTGACTAGGGGTGGGACGATATACCGATACACCGATACATACCGATATTTTCCTCTAAGATACGGTTTACGATACAAGCATTCAAATATCGGTACGAAACGATACACGAACGACTTATCCAAAAGTTGAAAATGAAAGTACCTGTCCTTGAAAATGGCGGCCTGTACGAAGCGAAGAGATTGTGCTGATATTGAAAACACACTTTAGAACTAATAAGCCGTTGATTAGGGGTAATATGTTTTCACTTTAAAGCAGCCTCGGAAGATTGGACAAGTGTACAAAGCGTGCTATACACAGAAAAGCATCGTTTCCAGAACATTTGATATTATTGTTATAGTCCATTCATACTTTTTTTTTGTAATCTCAACTTGGCTACGGACTTTCAGCAATCAATAATAATGTAAATGTGATTTTTTAAATATGAATTTTAGTCAGTGTTCGTTGATAAACTAGTAAAACTACACAACCATTTATAAACAACTTGTTGATAGAAATTTGGTAATATGTACAATTGTCCTGTACTATTGTTTTTGTAAAGTTTTAGTCAATGAAGTTGATGAACTTCAAGTATTAATTTCATAGCACACATGATTTAGTATAGAATAATTTTTTGAGTTAATGTCAAGACAAAATTTAAATAAAATACTAATTCTTTTGAATAGTTTTATAATTTATCATGTGTTAATGTCAAGACAAAAAAAAGAAGAAATAAAATACTAATTTTTAATAGTTTAATGATTTATCGTAATATCGAGATACGTATCGTATCGTGCCAATATATCGAGATACGTATCGTATCGCAAGATCTGTGTATCGTCCCACCCCTAAGACTGACATACAGATGTACATATACTGATTTCAATGTGAATCGGTTAAAATTGGCCCAGTGGTTGTAGAGGAGTTAAATATGTAAAGTTTCCATACAAACAAATGGACGACAGACGTAATATGATTAAAAAAACCCTGAAAAGCTCAAATGAGCTAAAAACATAGGATTCACATGTATTTTTTAAAGGTTACCATGGTTACAGTATTTGAAAAGCTTTTTTTATGCAATTTTTTGAGAAACTGAAAATGTATGACATATGTATCCATTGTTGAAAAAACTGAACATTTTAGAAAACAGTATCATTGAAAATAGTTAATCAAGCTGTTTTAAGTTGCAAAATAAAGCTAGTAAACTTTTATAGCTAATTCAACCACAGAACTTAGTCAATTTTAAGATGCACAACCTTTTCAAATCTTATAATACATGTAATTATTTTTAAAATATTTATGTAATCATTTCTGAT